TCGTCGTGACTGCATTCAAACTTTGCTGCCAGGAGACAAACAACGGGCCGTCTCTCAACCCAGCACATCCCGTATCTGCGCTTCGTCTCTCTTTTCTTCCGCTCCATTTTTTTCCACCTCTCTCTCCATCCCTCATTCCTCCTCCTCCTCCTCCTCCTCCTCCTCCTCCTCTTCAGTCGCAGCTTCATCAGCATCCTCTTCCTCCTCGTCGTCGTCGCCGTCGTCGTCGACATGTCCGCAATCTCTACCTTCTCCGAAATTATCAAACCCACTATTTGCATTTCTGCTGAAGCCCAAGTGCAATTTCCACGTGGAAAGAGGGCAGCAATCGTTGCAAAGCCCGAGTTTGGCAAATTCCACCTCGAAAATGTTGGACCGATTCCCCATTTGCTCGAGTCGCAAGTGTCAGGACGTCTTTCACGCCACAACGCGAAAGCTCGCCTCGCCCAAGCCGACGCGAAGACAGCGATTGTCCGCATCTGCACGGACGCCCAGTCCTTCCGAGTCTGTTTTGTCGTCTGGACAGAAGAGCCTCCTCGAGACGGGGTGCCATGAGACGGGCGGCTGGCGCGAGAACAGGTACAGGTCCGGCCGAGTGTCCGAGAGAAAGCGCGGCAACGACAACAAGGCGCCTGTGAGCAGAGGCGAGATTGTGGAGAAGCCGACCTCGACTGGTACAGCAAATCTCGATCGCCAGCCTTCGAGCAGCCATCCTGCACCAGCGATGGCAGTAGCCGCAAGCAGACAAACGGGGCTCGAGTCGGCGGTGCCCAAGTCCGGGCGTCGAAGTTGGCGCAATTGGGCATGTCAGCGCATGTTGGTCGGACACGAATTGGCCGTCGCCAAGCGCTGCGACCCAATGTCCATTCCAATCGCTCCAATCGCTCCAATCGAGCCAAATAAGCCGACGCCGTGCCTCGCGTCGCCGCGCCAGACCAGGACAACCTGTCTCCTGCTCTTGGTCACCTTCTCCTTCATCGGACTTACGCTGCCCTACGCGATCGTCCACGAGCTGAAGGAGGCAAGTGCACTAACGCCTCTGCTCCCCATTTCCCATTCTACTTTCTCCACTTCTCACTTGGCACCACCTTTGGCGGTAGCAGATCATGCCTGCTACACCTAAACAGTTGATCCGCCGTCTTTTTCAATTCCAGTCGCATGCTCTTCATCGCTTCACTCGACACGTGCATACACACTCGGCCGATTCCGATCCGGTCAGTGTTGCCAAAGGTTGACGCATTAGCGCCTAGACAACAGGCTAGTGTCACATGTTGAGTTATTAGCATCAAACAGGACAGACTACACTCGGCGGGCAACTCGAGAGGAGGGTGAATTGACGGCAGTTGGATCGTCTATTTCAGACATGACCAGACTTGGTTCAACTTTGACACGTAACTTGGACGACAATGGAGGAGGCCAAGTGCCAGAGAAGAGAAAATTCTCCCACTTCAACCATTGGCTCTGATTCTGCTTTTGACTAGTGGGGTGAATAAGGGCTTGATCGAGGAAAGGAAGAAGACAAGACTTCGTTGGATACAATGGCATCCTCCTTCGTTCGTCGTCATCAAATTGGCAATTGGCAACTTCGTGTCTCAGATGGCAGGACTATGCACACTCTGAGTATTAAGTGAAGCACGAGAACTCGCCCAAATAAACAAGTGTGATTTTTCTGAATGACGCCAAGTTAGCATAATCATTGGGCTCATCTTCATTTCAAGTGAAAGTGATTGGTGAACAGATTCGGAGCTGAATCCCGTCTGGAGACGAGGGCAGATTCTTCTTGTGTTTGGGTAACTTTATGTGATCGTATATGTATGAAACCAACTGTGGTTGCTAAAAGTAATTAGAACAGAAAAAGTAGGCTTTGTCACCGGCCATCAAGCTTTGAAGACATTCATCTATTCATTTATTTACATGCATGTGTGTATTTATATTAGTATATATTTTATAACTTGTAGCCATTACTCAGCTTGGGCAGATTCGCACAGACGTTAGAGTAAATTGACGAAAATTTTCTGTTCATGTTAGAAAGAAAGAGCAAAAAAAATGTCCAGAAAATTGACGTGA